AAATATGCATAATATATGAACATATTAATAAATTCAAAAGAATTTTGAATAGGAGAAAAATAATGCAAATAATTGATAAATAATTGAATACGACTACAAAACTCCATATAAAAAAATAAATAAACGAAAAGAGCATCTAAATGCCAACAAGAAAAAAAAGCGTAGGAATTTCCATGTCACCATGGTGACAGAAGGGCGGAATAACAAATCCAACATGGATATGTGCATGACATGCTGTGCGTCACTGATAAAAAGCATATTTTATTTATATATAACACAGTATATTTAAGTATAAACATTGGAAATTTGAGAGTGGAGAAAGTCAAAAGAGTCTGGAAAGAAAAGAAGTCACATTACGTGTGAGATTCTTCAACCCTTAATTTGCATAATGGCATGCGATTCACAATCTATTTTCTCTCTCTGAATATGAGAGACACAAAAACAAGAGCGAGAGGGGAGCACAGAGAAAAGGGGAAAGCCTATAGCAGATGCAGCATAAGAGTTTTTAAATGGGACTTTTTTTTTAATTGTTAAAAAATGCTAAAAAAAATAGATTGTCATACCATAAAGTTTGTTTATTATAATGTTTAATATTAATTTTATATAGGCAAATCAATATAAATAAATTAATAATAATACTAACGATCTATAACTATAACGATCAAGCATCTTGCACATCATGCCCTTGTGAAAATGTCAAGCATAGGGTTTCTTTTGACGAGTTTGGATTGTGGCCATCATTGTCATGTGTATGTCTGATTATGTCCGCAAAAGATATGATTCTCATAAGAGGGAAGCTAAAATAAGCAAGGAGAGATATTTGATGGAAAGAAAGACGTGTTATGATGTACTCAACAAGAGGATGTGACAGATCAGATGTCAGAGAGAGAGACAGAGAGAGAGAGAGAGAGAGAGAGAGAGAGAGAGAGAGAGAGAGAGAGAGAGAAGAGAGAGAGAGAGAGAGAGAGAGAGAGAGAGAGAGACTTTGACTTTTAGGGTCTCTTTTATTTTACAAAATTATAATCCTTCATATATAAAATTAAATTACACTCTAAAAGTTTTTCCCTTTAAAACCAGAAGGGAACGACCATGTACTGTAGACATAATCAACAATACTCCATAGGAAGAAAACAATAACTATTTTTCCACCTTAGATATTAACTTGCAGATTACCATCAATGTCTACTTCACACACACAATGATTAATTCCCCATTTGCAGTTAAACATCTCAAGATTGTTAACTAGCTTATAATAAGCATACTCTATTTTAATACGTGTTTTTATCAATCCCTTCACAATTGATAAAACATCAGTTGACCCTGTGTCATTTAATTTTCCTTTGCGGGACAACCATATTGCCATTTTTACCTGTCCAAATAAGAAGTTTATTAAAACATGTACGTCTTTATTGCTTCTACTGTATCTCGGCCCGTAAACAAAGACCATTGGGGTAAAAACCATGCCCAACGTTTGGCACCATCTCTCTAATTCAGCAAAAAGCCTCTGCAATCTCCCACAATTAAAAAACAAATGGAAAATTGTTTCTTGCTCTCCACAAGAGAGAGAGAGAGAGAGAGAGAGAGAGAGAGAGAGAGAGAGAGAGAGAGAGAGAGAGAGAGAGAGAGAAGCTGTGATTTAATAGCTGGGTGCACCTGCAGCCTGGATATCCTCTGCATCTCAATGAGCTTTGCGTTCCCTCTACCCATCACTGTCCTTCCTCTCTACTCTTTCAATCCCTCAGTCTTTCTCGCTGTATGCTAGCTCACTCTTTTACTCATCCTTCAGGATAACCGTAAACAAAATTGCCCTTATAATGAAATACTGAAATTATCAATATTTTTTACATGAAATCAATAATTGCCACAAAATTGCACACAAACCATGTGTATTCTTATTTCAAGTGAACCTGTATTCCACATAGTCAGGTTTCTTTATCTTTAATGCTGTTTTTTGAAGATGAGAACATATCAGCATGTCCATGTTGGATATTCAACTAATTGAAGGTATATTTTTTTTTTATGTTTAAATGTAGTTTAATTGGATGCACAGCTTTTGGTGTCAACAACAGGAGGGGCCAAGGAAGGTTAAAAACTCCCAAAAGTATTTTGTCCTGGCTTTTACCCCTTTATGGTACAATTCAGTCACATGGCAATATATAAATTGCATTGTTGGAATTAAAAGGGCAGACTTAGAAGAACACTTAGAATAATAAGCTATTTTTAAGCCACATGACATTTGATTTTCTCTTCTAGACATCAAAGTTCAGTTTTTTTATATTTATCATACAGTAAGAATCTTTCGCTGCATCTTTGATTAGATAATTAGATGCCGTTGTTTACAGAAGAACCCTGTCTAACAGAATTTAGGAGAAAAATATGAATGTTGCCATATGGCAATTCTGTACCACAATGGAATTGCTGTGATGCATTTCCACACTGGCCATAATAAAACTGTATACTTTTTAAAGCATAACAGTAGTTATGCATAAATAATAAAATTAGGATGTCTGCTATATGTCTTCAGAAAAACATAAATATGCATACCATTTTCAATATAAAAAGGAAAAAAAAAAGTTTACCACTGAAGACGAACAAGGATTTCCTATACGTTATAACTTTATTTTCAGTTGTGTACAGATCTGATGTATTTCCCAAGGTGTTTTTCAAATACACTCACCTAAAGGATAAGGAACACCTGTTCAATTTCTCATTACTGTTATTATCTAATCAACCAATCACATGGCAGTTGCTTTAATGCATTTAGGGGTATGGTCCTGGTCAAGACAATATCCTGAACTCCAAAGAATGGGAAAGAAAAGTGATTTAAGCAATTTTGAGCGTGGCATGGTTGTTGGTGACAGATGGGCCAATCTGAGTATTTCACAATCTGCTCAGTTACTGGATTTTCCCAAACATACATTTTTACAAAGAATGGTGTGAAAATGGAAAAACAGCCAATATGTGGCAGTCCTGTGGGCGAAAATGCCTTGTTGATGCTAGAGGTCAGAGGAGAATTGGTCGACTGATTCTGAAGCTGATAGAAGAGCAACTCGTTACAACAGAGGTATGCAGCAAAGCATTTGTGAAGCCACAACACGCACAATGCGCACGAACGGGACAAGCGTGCGAGGGGGGTGGGGGCATGGTAAGACCGTTTGATTGACGCATTTTCTGTCCGATGATTCTAGATAGTCTTGAAAATGATTGGCTGGAGTTTTTCGAGTCCTGCCTGTTCCACAGATGATTAAATTGCTTAATTTTCATTTCAGTGCTTCTAATTTACACCCAGTAAGTGGGTTAGGAATAGGATTTCAAGTGATTTAAAAAAAAAAAAAAATGGCCAAAAAAGAAAATCACATACCCCACCTTTAAATTTGTTTTGTGCCTTTTTTCAACAGGCCTTAATCACTTTCTGTACATCACTTTCAAGCCTTAATCCACAAATTGCTTCCAGTAAACAAACAGCCCAATTGCTTCTTACATTACAGACAAGGCCAAACACAGAAAGGGATAGCTTAAGTCTGTTTGATATTTAATGAGGTGCAAAATCTGAGACCACATTGAAAATCTGGGATTCAAAATACTAATAATTCTGGAAATAAACTGTTGAAAGCAAAACATTTTTTTTTTAAAAAAATATATAAATATTGTGTTGATTATATAATTTAGCGGTATTAAACAATTTGACTAGTGGTCCTAGGACCTCTCTGTACTAATATCGAGGCATCAAACAGAGGCATTTTAGTCCTGTACACAATGAAGACTATACAGAGAGCTCAGAGAGATAATTCTCCTACGCTGAGCATCGAGAGACAAACATAATGAGGAGGAACTGAAGAGTTTATGGGAAATGCCATATCAAATCACATAAAAGCAGCTGGAGGAAAGGTAGATGAGCGTTAAGTATTCGCATGGGGTTTGCTTGACAGGCTCTGAGGTATTTCATCCCACCTCTAAGCCAATAGCAATAATGAAGCTTCATATAGCACAGATTCAACCATCATGATCAATAGACCCATCATGCATTGCAACACAGTGGGGGTGGATTTTATAGTATATAAACCAAAGGACTGGTCTTTTGTAAAACGCAGAGCGAGGAAGTTAAGAATGAATTTTCTTTTAAACTGCTTGTGGTTAGTGAATCAAAGTACCATGGTGTAACTGCATAGTATAGTTTAAAGAGATAATTGAAAATTCTGTCAGAATTTACTTTACTTGACTTTCTTTCTTCTTTTGGAAAAGCTCCCAAAGCTCTTTTTTTTTTCAATGTGACAATGAAAATCATTGGGATTCAATGAAGTCCAATTGAAAATAATAATCATAATAATAATTTTGAAGCAGAGAGTGCTTCAAAATATCTTCTTTTGTGTTCCACAGAAGAAAGAAAGGATGAAGCTTCATGCTGGCCAAGTCTGGTTTGGTTTAAAGGGATACTCCACTTTTTTTGGGAAATAGGCTCATTTTACAACTCCCCCAGAGTTAAACAGTTGGGTTTTACCATTTTCGAATCCATTCAGACGATTTTCTGATATTTATAAGAATATCAGTAACCAGACAGTTTCTGGTCCCATTGACAGAAAATGTACTATAGCAGTAAAAATAAATAAATAAATAAATATATATATATATATATATATATATATATATATATATATATATATCATGAAAGTCAATGGGACCAGAAACTGTCTGGTTACTGATATTCTTCTAAATATTAGAAAATCAGCTGAATGGATTAGAAAATGGTAAAACCCAACTGTCAAACTCTTGGGGAGTTGTAAATGAGCCTTTTCCAAAAAAAAGTGGATTTTTGAAACTAAAAGCTTGGTTTAAATCTCCACAAGGAGATTTAGCTTGTGGTTCAGCATAGTCATGACAAAACTGAAACAGATCTTCAGCTCTTTATCATCATCAATATAGCTGACATAGTGGTTAGGCTAGAGAAAAGGACCATACTGGGGACCAAAACACTGCACATGCTGGTGTCTGAAATAGCTTACTATCACATGAAGGTGGAGGTCCTTCAAACTCGAGATGAGTCCCCAGGCGACAGGTTTGAATGCTGTTCCCATTTAGGTGATATCCTGGCAAACATCTGTAACGCACTATATCACCTGTGGAACGAGAGGGAGTGAACAGATGTAAGCATATTTATCATTGCTTTATCAATTGTCTTTAACATGCACTTTCTGTAATATTATGGAGAACATGGGATTTCTGAGATGCTCGGAACAACATGAGCAGCATCTGGCTGTTCCTGCCATTGCCCCGCTCACAACTTGATGAAGGCTACGTCCCCTCCCTGTCTTGCTTAATGGTTGACAGTGACAATAAAAGAATAAAGGGAGAAGGAGAGAGTGAGTCAAAGGGAGACTCAATGTACCGGCGCTGCATTGCAGTGTAATTAAGTAAGCGCCACACCGCATGGTTTACATTCATAACACCCATAGGCTGCAACCTGAGGGCCGCTCAGATCTCTGAAGTAAATTTCACTGTTGCCATACAAACATCCAGGCACTCTGTGACTCAACTAAGAGGAACAAAAACACCAAGTGGTTTTATAATGTACTGTAGAATTTTACCTGAAAAATTATAAATAAAAAGAGAGGCTTTGCATGCTGTGAAATACATATTTAGGAATGTGTTTGTGGCTGAGAATGTGCCTTCATGGCCATCCAAACACAATGACCTTAGTTAAATCACTGAATTAAGCGAATAAATTGGATGTGGTGGATAATCAGTGATCAAAACAGTGAGTCAGTTTGGGTTTGTGCCAAAGACCATGACTATTTTAACCCCGACAGAGGCTCTACAAACACACTTCATTCCAGAGAGATCAAACAACCCTGCACCAACCCGTAGCAACCCATTTAGAACAATTAATAAACGAATGCATTTTTTTCTCCATGCCGGAAAAGCAGTGCATTGATTTACCAATGGATTTCAGAGACAACATCATTAGAGGACCAATGAAGTCATGATTTTTTTTTATTATTTATTATTTAAGTGTTTTCTGTGGGCACTCAGAGGTGAAACCAACAATAATAATTTTAATAAACGTTTCAAAAGATTTTTTTGGGAAAAAAAGTGAAAATTGCTTGAATACAATGTAGGAAAAAAAAAAAAAAAAAAAACTACTAGAGATGGAGAGCCAAAATTGTTCAATTATAATTTGTAATTACTAGACAAAATAGTTTAAGTACCGGTAGTAGTTTATTTATTTTTTTTTTTTTCTACATTGCTAGTCTGGCTAGTTTATTATCTGGCAAAAAAAATAAAATAAAAAAAATAGCTCATAGCTAGTAAGGCTAGTAAGTTCCTCAATTCACCTGCTATTGGAAAGTATCGCAAACAGATTATATAGAATATGCAAGTGTATACTTCATTTATAAAATAGCTTCTATCTGGCCTCCCCCTGACTTTGTGTTTGCACAAAATGTAGACTCAACCTATGTTCTAGCACCGAGCACAATACAACATCAGCCTAGCTTTGAATTCTGGAAATGAGTCAGCATATCAGCAAGGCCCTATGGGACTGGTAGCCCTGGCATCTGAGCGGTTTTCTCTCCTCAAAGCGAGTTCTCGAGGGGTGTGAGCGGTGGGAGTGGGGGGGTGCGGGAGGTGTGTGTGTGTGGCTGGCTCTGCTATTCTGGGAACATTATTAATGAGAGGCGCTCAAGCCTGAAAATGAACTGGCAGCCTGCATCTCTGCTCAAAATGTTCCACTTATACTGGGCCAGGCCGAGTCCACCAACACGAACACACACATACAAATCAGATTGTAAATGATGTAAAATCAATTCGAACTCACCTATCTTAAATTCTTTACTGGCCATCAGTATTTCTGCATTAGGAATGATGGGAGGTGGCAAACAAAACTGAAGTCTATAGGCTAGAAGAAAGAGAGACAGAGAGGTAAAGAGAACAGGTTCAGACATGTCATATTGCATTGGGGGTTATTCATTGTGAAAGTAAAGAACAGTTCTATGTGACAAAAAATATCATTTCATTTAGGGTTTAGCTGAATAGCTAAAGGATAGCCCCTATTAGACCAAGCCATGAAAGCCATGCATTATATTGTAGTAGATGTTTGAGCAGTTATATATATTAGGGCTGTCAGTTAAAAGCGTTATTAAGAGCGTTAACGCAAACCCATTTTAACGGCGTCAATTTTTTTATCCCACGATTAACGGCCTTTTTAGCCTAGCAAACTTTGTAGTTTTCTTTCATATGCTTTTGCAACAGGACACGGCATGCGCACGCTGTGCTGCGCTATGAAACCCATTAATTTCAATAGCTTGCGCCACCCGAGGACGTTTTGTTGCTTCGTTGACCAAAGCGCAAGCGAATCTAGCTAGACCGTAAACAAAACAACAGGCACGCCACACACTTGGGCTTGCGAGCCGGCCAAATAGTAGGTTAACGTTACGTTTTGAGTGGATGACGAGCGTGAGACGCCGTAATGGATGCCAATGAGGTTCTGAATGGAAAGTTTACTTTTAAAAAGTTGCCAAATGGTTCCATTGACAAGACCAAAGTGATCTGTGTGTTTTGTCGTTGTTAACTGAGCATTGCAGCACGTCCAGTCTGAAATAACGCTTGATGATATTTATATATATATATATATATATATATAGCCTATAAATATATATATGAAGAGTTCAGATGCAAAAGCCTCTAAGTGCCATTTGAAATTTTCGTCTAGAATGATAATTTTTATCAAGCTTGTATATTTAAGTTCAGTAATTTCACCCTGAACATAAATATACAAGCTTGATAAAAATTATCAATCTAGAAGAAAATTTCAAATGGCACTTAGAGGCTTTTGCATCTGAACTCTTCATATATATATATATATATATATATATATATATATATATATATATATATATATATATATATATATATATGATATCTTACACACAGCTGATGTGAATTCTCCGCCCCCTCGTCAATATCAGTACCTCCTCAGTATTTCTTTCACCCTTTTATAGATGGACAGTGTTACAGTGCCAATGTTGTTCAATAAAAAAAAAAAATAAATAACATTTGCACAAAGCAAGCCGATCCAATTTTCCATGTTGATAAGAGCGTTAAAATGAGAAAAGAATGATGGAACAAAAAGAAATCAAGAGACATTTAGAATAGATAAAAATGTGCGATTAATTGTGATTAATCGTGAGTTAACTATGACACTAAAGCGATTAATCACGATTAAATATTTTAATCGTTTGACAGCATTTTGCAGCATTGACATTTTTTTGGGAGGGTTGTCACATTTAATGTTTTTTAAATGTGATATGCCTGCTCTGATGCCGACAGCTATCCGTGTTGTCATGTCGTACCTGCAGCTCCACTGGATTGAAAAAAAAAAACTGTTTTCAGTCCTGAGCACCCATGCAGATTTGTAGTTCTCGAGTCTGGACATGGTCTCAAATCCATCTCGAATTCAAGACCATGACCACACTCAAGAATATTTTATTGTCAAAGGGACTCGAGACCCCACAGCACTACAGATACATGTTGTGGTCTGTGCCGAAATGTGCCTCCAACTCAACCTACTCTGATCTCAGCCTAGACTGGGACTTGAATAAGCTGGTTTGCACTACAACTCTGCAATAATGTATTTAATCACATCTTTCCACTGGGTCCAGCAGCAATCAAGCAACTGCTATAGAGATGTATGTGAATGCCAACGGTAATTTTCTCTTGAACCAATTACCTTGGTAGTTGATCTTGAACAGTCCACCTTTCTCAGAATTGCTTCGGAAACGTATCAGAACTTGATTAGAAGTGCTGCTTGGTGGGTTGTTGGCCTCTCCCTCTGTAAACACTCCGAGTTTGCGAGCTGTTTCCTGAGGTCCGTCCCTGTTGAAGACACATCATTAAAATTCAATGTATAAAACCTGCTAACCTTGCATACTCAATGGGACAGGAAAACACCACATTTTTTTGTTGCCTGACAATGCACAGCAAGTCATATAACCAGGCTGGTTTGAGAAACGTTTTGCTGAATACTGACAACTTTACTGAATGGAGGGACGATTCTAACCATACTGATAACCTCTCTGATTTCAGAGACTCCTCTTACACTCTTACGGTTCTTTCATGCTCAGTTCAGACTCAGCCTCTGTGTCAAGGCATTCTGAAACCGAAGCCACCATCTACAAGGACATTACCTAGGGGGGTTACCTGTACGATCCTCTTGTGGGAAGGGAACAACTTGGCACCAACCTAATCCCAGTTTTAACCATGACCATTCAGCTTCAAAACCATCTGTTCGTGCCCATCTGAGCTTGCCCTACAGATTATATCCTATCCTGAGCATTCAGAAAAGCATCTGGTTGGCTAAAGGGAGTGCTGGCTCACTAAACTGAGACCAAGCTGTCTTGTCTGAGTTTCTATTCTGGTTATACTGCACCTTTAGTTTGAGTTGAAGTGGATGGATGAGTTGAGAGTAGATAATGCCTCAATAATACCATGAAGAAAAAAAAATCCATTGCTTCAGTCAATCCAAACAGAAAAGAGAAGGTGCGTAATTAGACCGAATCTTAATCTGTTTTAAGGGGAACCTGTACATACAGGCCTCAAGTAACTCCGCCACCAGTCTACATGTGCTATAAATATGCTCCCTCCCAGAAAAGAAAATGACAAACAGAGAAAGAAGTTGTAGAAGCACAATCGTTACAGGAAGTTGAACAACTCACCAGACTGTGATGAAATCTTGGGGGCCATGGACTTGCAAGAGGGTGAAATTAAGACGAATTCCCAAGCCTGATGCCACTGTAATCAGCCAGCTGCAGTCCGTAGAAGCGGGGTAGTCCTCTGGGTAACCGGGGGAGAAGATAGTGCCATTTTCTGATGTAATGTTACCTCCACATGGCACTAAAAGGGAAAAAATGAAAACAATTGGAAAAGTTTTTGGAGAAACCAAAGACTAAAGCAACACCATCACAGAAAGCAGCCTTGGCGGACGGAGGAGAAAAAGAAACCAGGATAGGGGCAGGGCGAAAATGTGAAAATCCCCGCTGGGTTCTAAAACACCACTCAGTCTTTCTCAGTAGTTCACTTTCCATGTCCGACTCCATCTTAGAAATCCCTCTTGCAGGCAATGCTTTGCATTTATATAGACGTGTCCATGTTTCCAATGATTCAAATGAGCCCCAGACATATGAAATCAAATCCCCTTCCTGCTTTTGCTGATCCCTGATCCCATGCTACTGCTGCTGCTGCCCCCGAGACGGAGAGGAAATAATCAATCCGATTTGGCTGGTGAAATAAAGATAGGCCCACGACTTGAACGCACACATAACGACAGTCATAATACACTCTTACTCTGACTGTACTCTCAGCGGTTCCTTGCACCGTCAAGGTCTCTCCGACCGTCCCCACATCCCCACTCATTCCCGCCCTCTCTATCCTTCTACAATTCTTTATACACTATTTCCTCCTTCTTAATTTCCTCTCGTCTCTGACGGAATGCTGAGAGGGGTGCCTGTGTTAATCCCTGGCGCAGTGCGTTCTCTCTCGCCACCTTACTTGCTAAATGAAATATCGATCACAGCATTGATTGAAAAAAAAAAAAAAAAAAAAAAAAAAAACGGCACGCTATCAAAGTAGAAATGCATGGTGACGTTATCGATCAGGCAAAAAAGTTGAGTGGGGAGTGAGGATGGGAGGAAGGTGGTGAACTGAAAAAGGAGGGTGGGGGGCATAGATGGAGGACAGGCCAAGTTGGTTGATATGGACAGGTGTGACAGTAGAAGAGAAAATCAATCATCTTTTTAAAGCCTGGAAGAGGAAATCTATGTACATGACACCCTGGGCATGAACTACTGGTGGCAGCATATGTAGGCGATTGCTAGGCCAGTAGGGTTGTAAAGTTCTTATAATATATATATATATATATATATATATATATATATTAGGGCTGTGCAAAAGTTAATTGTAATTAATCGCATCCAAAATAAAATTCTGTGTTTACATAATATATTTGTGTGTGCTGTATATAATTATTTTGTAAATATAAATACACACACATGCATGTATATATTTAAGAAAATGTGTTGTTCATATATAAAATATTTATATTTATATAATATAGATTATGTATTTATATATATATACAGAATTTAAGCGCAAATAATTCTTAAATATATACTGTACATGCATGCATAGGTATTTATATATACAAAATAATTATATACAGCACACACAAATATATTCATTTTTGCACAGCCCTAATATATATAAGGTTTTTATACGAATATGTACGATTTTTGTACAATATTTTAAGAATGTTATATACTTGTAGTTAGCAAGTAAAATGTAGTTAGCCACAGGTCAAATAATTATTGCCCCTGAAAACATCTCATCCGTCACCACACAAAATCTCTGACCTAAAGCAACGCACTATGAAAACACTATAGTATTTTACTACAGGGGAAGATTTTACTATAAAGATACAACTCGGATTAATCAGGACGCTTGACCACAGCATGCCCATAGCCAGTTTATTTAATCAGTTTCAAAAGCTATTATACTTAATTTATATCTTGAGACCCATGCTTTGATTCAGTATAATTCCTCTGTACCTTTTAAAACCCTGGTGGTGCCGTAACTGGGACAATTGTGTAAGAGAGAGAGAGAGAGAGATGTGGCACACTGTAAACCCGGATAAGTTCACAGAACTCAAAAATTATTTTGTAACAGATTACACAAAAATATTTGAGTGATGTTTTTAAAAGTTTTAAGTTAACTTAAATTAAAAGTTATATTTAATGTTGCCTTAAATTATCTCAATGTTAACTTAAAAATATTGATATTTCTCAACTTAAAATTAGTGAGTAATTCACTCAAAAATTTCAATTATCTTCAAATCATAAAATGTTGAAAATACACTCAAAATTTTCACTTTTCTTAAACTCATAAAATGTCAGATATATACTCAATTTTCACTTTTCTTAAACTCATAATGTAGGAAATGCACTAAATGTCCTATAGTTTTCTACTCATAAAGTGGGATATGCAATCAACATTTACTCTAAACTAAAATCCTGATGTCAGCCAACTACACAATTTTACTCAGCTAATAATGTCAGAAAAGATGAAGTGACACCACTGTGACAATTTAGCAACTTTTTTTATTCAACAATGTGCTTTTAAAAAGACACAAAAGGAGCTTGCAAGTATTTTATCCTTCACGACAGATACTCTCAGGGCAGAAGAGGGCTGCATCAGTAGTGTTATCTGTTACGACTGTCAGGAGAGACACTGGAGTATCGGTGAGGTCTGGACCAACTCCTGACTATAAAACACAAATAATACAAGAATGAGTTTAGCCCCTCAAGGATACAAATCATGCCAATGATCTCTAAACATTACTGGCACTTAGACTACTACTAAGCCACATGTTTAAACTATTTTCTTTACATATGCTTATATCTTATGTTATTTTCACACCTATCTGTTGGCATACTTTTTGTGGAAAGCTTTATACTTACCTTTTCATTTATAATAACTTGAGAATAACAGTTTACTTAAGAATAACAACTCAGGTCCTGGGGGCTATTCCAGAAAGGAGGTTCAACAAACTCTAAGCCTAACCCTGAACTCTGCGTTGACTTACCATGAGTTTTCAGTTGCAGAATAGCTGATCTGAGTTAGGTACTCTAAAACATTATTATTATAGTATTATTAGTTATTTCTCTTTTTCTGCCAGCTGGTGAAAAAAAAAAAGCTAAAACAAAGACGATCGTTCTGATCTGAGAGCACATCAGCAATGACGTGTAGTCTGATAATTTCACTGTAGGGCCGAAGTAAATAAATTGTGGACTGATGAGAGAGCGGTCAACTGTTCGGTTCAGTCCTTGTCAGGGAGTGAGAGCTCATCAAAATTAATCAAACTATGTGAATTATTTCTGCTTCAACATGATTGGACTGAAAAAGAAAGGACAGCTGCTGTCAGGCAGCTCCGTAAGACTCAGGGTTTCTTCAAGCAAATCTTTAGGTTCACAACGTAAGTTACCACAGTAACAGACCCAGAGATTAAGTTAAATCTATGCTTCCTGATTGCCATGGAGAAACACAGTATCAGAGCTCCATTGATGGCTTTATACTGCTTGTGAAGCACAAGCTCAACTCAAGAGTTAACATACTCGGAGTTGAATTACTTAACTCAGATCAGCTATTCTGCAACTAAAAACTCAGGGTAAGTCAACTCAGAGTTCAGGGTTAGGCTTAGAGTTTGTTGAACCTCCTTTCTGGAATAGCCCTCTGGAATGGATAAGTCAAGAGTTTTCACATAACCTGCTTTCTGAAATAACCGCCTGGTTTTCCTATAGTTTTTGGAGAGATATGTTTAAGCTGACCGAATAGCAAGGCAAAGGGATTGATAGTGAGGACAGTACACTTACATTACAGGTCCTGAAGAACTTAAAGAATCTTCATGCAGGTAGACAGGAAGTGCACCGAGGATGAGGTCCCGTCTCATATTTACATCACGTTGTTGCTAGATGGACAAAAAATATGCATTACAAAAGTAATTACACAAATGCAGAACAAACACTTAAAAAAATAAAAGAAAAGTGTTAAATAGCTCCATATTCTGATGGTGGTCTTTGCTATAGAATGGTAGATTCAGTGTTTTTGGTTCACCATTTCTTCATTAAAACATTTTTCAAATAAATTACTTTCTATTGTAAATACTTGAATAACACAAAAAAGGAAAAAACTTAAAATTGTAAACAAAATTTCATTATTACAGACAGTAGTTATTTGGATATCTTCAAATTGAATCTGAAAGTATCTTTTAAAGGTACCTCTTTCTGATAGAATACATCTTGTCAGGATGTCTATCTCTGATGAGATGACAATGTTGTTCATGAAATAATCTATTAGCCTCAGGGCACAGTCCAGGCAATTCACTATGGTTTCTTATAGTTGTCTGAATATAATTTGTAAATAATCTGTTTCTGAATCATGTTAAGTTTAAAATTCACCTGAAGGTCATAAATCCTCATGAGTTTGGCTAGCTCCTCCGCTGTCTTGACAGTCTTGGTGGCCTTGTCTCTGAACAAGGTGATGAGTTTAGGCATGTGTCTGTCCAGCTCCTTGTAGAATTGATTGCGCAGGTTAACGTTGTTGATTCGGTGAAACTCTCCAATACATGGAGAGATTTGTGAACGTATTTTTAGTTTAAGTTTTCAGTTGCCAGGTAGGAAAAACAAGGGCAATTCTACTAGGGATGAGTCAGAACCAATGTCAAAATAGAAAGTTATTTGTCATTCTTTAATTTAAAACAGGCTGTATAATGTTATCAAATAGAGAATACTTTTCATTTCAATCTGCTTTAAAAAAAAAATCATATAAGGAAACAATTTACAAATCTCACCTATTGGCAACTGTCTGATGGTGAAACGCTGACTCTCTGTAGCACTCAAGTCCAATATCTATACACAACATGCACACAAAGATGATTAGTCAATGTTCTAAAAACATTTTTTAAACGATACATAATGATAAACTAAATTTAAAAAAGTAAATTTACAGATAAAAATCCAAAATTTTCAAATCTATCAAAAACATTCATTGTACAGTATTTTTAGTAAAATGAAAAGTTTAAAAGTTGAGCAAGTTAGTTACTAACAAGCACAGCATTAAAGTTGTGTGTGTATATGCTATTTCTGTTGATGTTTTGTTTTATTAATACTAACAAAGTATTAATAAAGGGTTCAAGTGATAAAAACATCTAAAGAAATGGCAAAAGAATGACAGTGGAAACACAAAATAAAACCAATTGTTAATAACATTATTTCATAATACATCCTACCTGAACTTTAAAAAAAGATTCCTAGATGATCATCTCACAACCAAACACTCGAGCCTGGAAAGAAATACACACAAAGACCTTGTTGGTTTCATGATAACACACTGACATTATGTTGTTTAGCATTGTTAGATTCACGCTGCACACACACACACAGCTTGTCAACGTGAAATACTTACTGTTTAACGCGGACACTTACAAATAAGTAAACGTTACTTTACATGCATTACCAGCGAAAACAACAGCCGGCAGAAACTGTCAAGCAGGGATAAGTTAACGTTATGCTTTCGGACCATATACAGTAGGAGCGTTTCGGACTCCACGAGAAAATTCAAACTCACGGTCGTTCCTCTACGTCAATGTCCCGGGAAAACATGCATTATGTGAAATGTAGTTCTTCCGGAAACCCGCCAACTGTACACCGTTGTTAGATTCAAACATTTTTAGTTACAATTACTCGGATTTGTAAACTATTTACCACAAATATTCACTGTGCATATTATATACATGTATTCCCAGTTCCAAATGTAAGACTATTTATCGAAATTCAATTAAAAACAACAACAACAAAAAATGTTAGCATTACTTACCAAATCAGGGCTGATAAGACGGCGCTGAAATGACGGCAGGTCAAAGATGAAAAAACTGAGGTCGTGGTTTGAAGTGAGGGGATAAAAAATGCATTGCAAACGAATAAAAACAAATTAAACTGTAAAAACTTCCATGAAAACTTCTCCGCATGAAAGCAAATTCAAGATGGCTGACTTAGCTTTCCTGAGGCAGAGATAAGACCCACCCACCACGTCATGACGTCATTAACGTCATGCCACTACTCCTAAACTTTTTGAGTGATCCACACAAATTAACTATCAAATTTTGAGCCCTATTCAATTAAAGTGGCATAAATGTCAACAGAGCTCAATACTTAGTTTGTTCAACTGCATAAGGACATTTGACTGTAATGACCTCATTAGTTATGAGCTAGTACAACTGTTAGGTTTTACAGTGCAGTTTGAAGTGCATTAAAAAAAGAATGTGGCAAATTTTCATGTTTTTTTGGGGAAGTCTAATTTAATACTTACTAGTACTCTCAGCTGTGATTTTTCAGCCCGTTCAAAAAGCTATTTCACCATTTATATTTATATAAATGCATTCTGTGAACAAAAGCTTTATACCTTTCATCTTGACAGTGTACATATTACACAGCATGGAATTATGGTGCGTCACATTCATTTTTTTCCATTTTCACTCTGCTTAACACCAGAGCTCTCGATTCCTACAAATTCAATTACGCACACTGCAAGAGTGTTTTAACAAGGCCCAGGTTGATGCTAAGTTTTTCATTGTGTGGAGTATTGTAACACAGAGTGGAGGTGTAATGTGTGTTTTTATTTGCGGGTTCACCTGCGCAGCAAAGTGGGGCAAAGCACCGGTGCCTTTACAAGGCGACGAGGCTGCAATTGCTATGTCAGCCCCTTGAATACCTCCCTAGAGCATCTTTATTCTCACATGAACATTCAGCAGCCTCACTGCATATGCTACCTCGTGACCCACTGCATAATTAACTCATTGAATCAACAGAAAAAAACAAATGAGCATGGGAATGTGGGTCAAGGATAAACTCGATTCCTTTCCCATCATCCCCTTGGATGAGATATTAGAAAGGAGCCATTAAGTCTGTAGGGAAGGTTTATAGTAAAGAATTTGCATTTATGTGCAGTTGCCCTCTTTGACCCACATTTAAAGCTGCCCATCTGATGATGGGTAAAAGAAAGCTAGTAATTAAGCATATAGAATTCATTATTAGCCAGTAACTACAGTATAATAACTTGTTGTAACTTGTCCTCTTGAATTTTAGGAAACAGAGCAATGTGAACATGCTGTGAATGTTATTTACTCCAGGTTTGGAGTAAATAAATAATTTTAAATATTTTTAATTTCATGAAATCCTTTAAAGTTTTTTTTTTAAGCCTATTTTTTTTTTATAAATAATTATATTATATTATACTGTATATATTTGTAATGCATTAATGATGCTGTGAAATGCATGGCATGGATAATTGTAAACACAGTTACAATACATTTTAATACTTAGCTATTCATTGCTACACATTTGGGAAGAATAATGCATTAAAACATAAAAAAGGCTTTAAGTAAAGTGTTTCCTTCTTTTTTGTAATATTACATTCCAGATGTTTACTAATGTGGGAGAGAAATGGAAGGGGTTGTACCTTCACAGCGAGGAAAGGGATGATCCCAGTTGCGTGTAGTACCATGTTGACAGGTAAGAATGGAGTGTCCCATCAGCTGATACCCAGGATAGCACTCAAACGAGATGGACTGACCCACGTTATAACCAGCTCCAACCACCACACCATTGTGAAAGGGTTCCGGATCAGGACACTCCTGAAGTTCATAGGCTGGAAGAGACAGGGATTTTGATACATGACACATGGGGGAAGAAAATGCATGATTCATTTTTGAACCTGCAAGAAGAAAGCAGAGCCCCCGACAAGTGCATCTGTTGTGACACCTCAAAGAAATTAATTTGCATCTATAAAATGATTGCTCCGAGATTCAAGCACCAATTTAAACCAGGTTTTACAAGTAAACCATATGCATGGATTCCACTGATTGCTGTACACCAACAAAGCATTGGGATTTGATTCAAAGCAAATGCAATCAAAGCTCTGGCAATGACAGATGCTGTCATTTTTCTTTTTTTCTCAGATTTCAAGAAAGCAAACAAGTGATCATTGTTCATTGCAGGTAGTGAAATCACCAAAACACACTTACTTCAGAACATCTCGCCCCTCAATTAAGATGATTTCCTTGTGTTTCTCAATTTTTCTTTCTACTTACCTCAATTATGTCTTAAAGTCATTCTGAAGAGAAGTTTTGAAATAAAAATTCATATGCATCCAGAGTCTGGCGCCATTATGAGTAGTTTGCCAAATTATTTTTCAAATCTCATAGACACAAAAGGAAATATGCTGAAGGTTTCAGACAGAATGACCATGACTAAAGAAATTGAATTATGTGGATTAGAGTATCTTCCGCAACAAAACTCTGCAAAAGACTGTACTGCCAGATATAATGCTTGATTTATATGCTAATGTACACACAATTATGCAAATATAGATTTCACAAGTCATTTCAATACAGCAAACTGTAAATTCTGATTATGCTTTCATGGATCCCTCTTAGAACAGGCCCTTTCTAAAATTCACTCATTGGACTCATATTCAACTTTGGATTCTGGCATCAGCAGCATTTTATACCTGATGGATTTTATGCACAGCTTCATAGAGAGCGGATTACTATCGTGTTTACTCGTTATCTTGGCTGATTGTCTTGAAACTGACATTCAAATTGAGGTTCCTGAGAAAATAAACATGCAAATGAAGAATTGCAACAATGCCAACTACAACAGAATGTGGAGTTTTGTATTCCCACCCCCAAGTAAAAGGGTCAATCCTCAACTTTTTCAACTTTACTTTTTAGTTGCCTTACCTTGATAATCAAATCTGAAGCCAGGCTTATTCTGAGAGTGATCACTATGGAAATATACAGTGGTCTCGTGGGAGGTGGTTAGGAGAGATGGTGGTAAGTCCTGCCCACTGAATCTGCCAATCACTGTGCTGGTGTCAAAAGGTCCATTTCGAATTTCCAGGAAATCATGGTTGGCCTCAGTGGAAAAGTTCAAGAACTGCACATGAGCCCCTGTTTGGATGATAAAACAGGATGTGTTTAGTAATGTCAAAGTGGCATGCCATCCTAGTCATCAACAACTAGTTTAATGCAGGCAACAGGCATACAATGGAGAAATTGAAATTTGATTTTCTTCCCCTATTCATGTTTCCATGAGAGCTCTGCCTCATTCTCATTCTGTCTGTGGTGACATTCCATAACAAACCAGTTACATATCATGATTAGTATCAACAGTTTTAGCCAATTCATCTTAAAGGGTTAGTTCACCCAAAAATGAAAATTAAGTCATTAATTACTCACCCCCATGCTGTACCAACCCCGTAAGACCTTCGTTCGTCTTCGGAACACAAATGAAGATATTTTTGATTAAATTTGAGAGCTGTATAACTACCACATTGGCTCCTAAAGGACTGCCTCTTGACGGCCCAGAAAGTCAATGAAGAAAATGTTTAAATATCCCAAGTGACTACCGTGGCTCAACTATATGTTTATCAAGCGACGCGAATACTTTTTGTGCGAAAAAACAAACAAAAATAACGAGTTTATTCGACTATTTCTTTTCTTCCTTGTAGGCCAGAACGAGACTTCCTTAGATTTTCACGACGCATGCGCGAGATTTGCGATCTGCGTACGCCAGCTTACACTACTTCAGATCGCAATTCTCGCGCATGCGTCGTGGAAATCTAAGGAAGTCTCGTTCTGGCCTACAAGGAAGAATAGAAATAGTCGAATAAACTCGTTATTTTTGTTTGTTTTTTCGCACAAAAAGTATTCGCGTCGCTTGATAAACATATAGTTGAGCCACGGTAGTCACTTGGGATATTTAAACATTTTCTTCATTGACTTTCTGGGCCGTCAAGAGGCAGTCCTTTAGGAGCCTATGTGGTAGTTATACAGCTCTCAAATTTAATCAAAAAATATCTTCATTTGTGTTCCGAAGACGAACGAAGGTCTTACGGGGTTGGTACAGCATGGGGGTGAGTAATTAATGACTTAATTTTCATTTTTGGGTGAACTAACCCTTTAAAGAACTCACTGGCATTACCAGAAAACTCTTTCTAAATAGCATCTGTTCATTCTTCTGTGTCCTTACCATAACCGACTGGCAAATAAATCCTCCAGGTGCAGTCACTGTTGCTAGGGTAGTTTCCTGGGAAACCAGGGCTGAGAATGGTGCCTTCCATCTCCTCTCTGATTCCCCCACACTGAGCTGAAAGGAAAAATGGTGGGGACAGTATTAGAAACAATTATTTGTTGAAAACACCTACTGACAATATAAACCAAACCTGTAGAGCTCAAGGTTCAAGTCTAAAGGCAAATACAAACAGCTGACAGCTATCAGGCTACTATTAGAGAATGAAATGAGGCAACCAACAGGCTTTTCCACTTCTTTTGATTGGTGGGAACATAAATACGACTGAAAGTGAAAATTACTGTCACTGACCTGCAAATGAACTGGTCTTTTATGTGTGCGCCAGCATGGCTTCTATAGTTGCTAAATATATAGTAGGATCCAAAAGTCTAAGAGCACTTTGAAAATCTATTGTATCAAATATACTATATATATGAGTTCAGATGCAAATGCGCCTCTAAATGCCATTTGAAATTTTCTTCTTTAATGATGATTTTTATCAAACTTGTATATTTAAGTTAAGTAATTTCAATTAAATGGCAATAATAATCACCTATTAATTGTTATTTAAGTGAAATTACTGAACTTAAATATACAAGTTTGATAAAAATCATCATTAAAGACTCTTCATATATATATGAAGAGTTCAGATGCAAAAGCCTCTAAATGCCATTTGAAATTTTCTTCTTTAATGATGATTTTAATCAAACTTGTATATTTAAGTGCAGTAATTTCACTTAAATGGCAATGATAATTACCTATTAATTGTTATTTAAGTGAAATTACTGAACTTAAATATACAAGTTTGATAAAAATCATCATTAAAGAAGTATATATATAATATGTATATATATAATACACACACACAATATCAATAAAAAGTGATGTACATGACATGGATTTCAATATTTTAAACAGAAATGTTTATTATGCCTCTAATATTATACATTTGCAGGTCATCAAAAAAGTATATTTGTAATTTGTGCTTTGAATGGAAGCAAGGAAATATCCAAAAAAAACTTTATAAAAAAACATATTTCAGACAGTTTTCTAACTTCCAGTAAAAGCACAAGATGCTGTTTTTCAATCTAACTTTTCACTCTTCCTGTAAATATATATATATATATATATACAATATCAAAAAAAAGTGATATACATGACATGGATTTCAATATTATTTTATACATGACATGGATTTCAATATTTTAAACAGAAATGTTCATCATGCCTCTAATATTATATATTTGTAGGTCATCAAATAAGTATATTCGTGATTTGTGCTTTGAATGGAAGCAAGAAAATATGCAAAAAACTTTATTAAAAAAAAAAAATCATATTTCAGTTTTCTAACTTCCAGTAAAAGCACAAGATGCTGTTCTAACTTTTCACTCTTACTGTAAATACAATAAAATAAATAAATCTCCATGGTGAAAAAGCATGTAAACATGCAACGCAATGTGACATCTACGACAGCATGTGTGGGCTACAAGTCGATTGACGCTTCACGTTGCTTAGCAATGCGGTCTACCTTATTCACCGACCCTGAGAGCTTTGTGCCGAATAAAGAAATGTAACGCATTAGCTTTTCTATTGACATCATAGGGGAAACAAGTCTTTCATTTATTAAAAAGGCCAATTCACTTCCCAAAGCTATCAAAGGCCACTCAAGCACCTCTGCAGCCTTCAATCTTCTCATATCAGTGAAAACGCATGCTCAATCCCCTCCTCCTCTCGAGGCTTTGAATCTAAACTACTGATTGATTCAAATATCACTCTGATTAAAGCCTTGGCTTTGGACTCAAAGAGACTCGATGGATGTGCTGTGAAGCCCTACAAGGCATCAGATCATGAATGGAGTCTATATAGAGTGGAGGGGTTAAAAATATGTTCAGTGCTTTTGAAAAAGCAGCAGGAATCAGGAAACTGCTGATGATCATGCAAGCAACGAATGAACCATCTCAAGAGCCCACCCAATCACAGCAGGAGATTTAACTAATAGGGGTATAATTGAACGTTGTGATGTTATTACGTTGATCGTGTGAATACTCTTTATCCTTGCTCTTTTCACTGGATTAGATAAATGAACAAACCAAACAGCAGTTTTTAATGAAAGATGGCACAAGCACACATTTCAAATTGCATTATGTTCAAAGTTAATGTGATGAACTACACACTGCTAGGACATCTGTGTGAACTTGATGAGAATTGACCTCATACTTTCACTAAAAATGAGCTTGGGACCAGCTGGATAAAAGCAATAACTTCATAAACAGCTCAGAAAAGTGAAGTTAGTTCTGTGAAACACTCTAGCATCATGTATTTGATAATTTGTTACCTAATGCGAGGGAAATTCATACATTTTTAAATGCGGCTTAAGTGCCCAAGTACTTTTAGGGGGCGCTGTACCCACACAAGTACCAGTGTAGTTCTGTAACATTTGGGACTCTGTGGTAGATCTGAACTTATAAATCTGCAGAAGCCAGGATTTAGAAAAGAAATAAATGAATAAAAGATGACAGAAGTTATTACCGATGCAGAGAGGAGGCGGATAGTTCCAGCGGCGCACAGGCCCTGGCATGCAAGAGATATGGGACACTCCCTGCAAAGAAAAATGAAATAAAAAGAAGAAATATTGTTTGTTTTTCAGTTTTTCCGGTAACACTTTACAATACGGGTGCACTAATATGCATTAATTCATACTTAACTAACGCACAGATAATCATGAGTTAATGTATAGCTCATGAAGAACTAAACCATTAATTAATGATTACTGCATCAGCAACTAATAAAGAGTATATATGATTAAGTAATACATGAATTGCTATTAATTCAATGTGTCATTGTGCATTAATTCCTTAATAACATATTTTATTAACTAATAATGTAAATTAATGTGATAATTACCACAATTAGTCAAAGCTATGCACTTCAACTTCTAGTTGTCTGCTTTAATTAATCATTACCTAACAATTTGCAAAGGTATCATTATGTTATGACTTTACTTGTTGGGGCACATCATTATTACCTAGTCATTTAGTAATTGTAGTAATTTGCACATGAATTTGCAGTAACAATGAAGTAATTAATCATCTATTAATGCATATTAGTGTACCTGTCATATTATCTGGAAGTTGAAATACAAGGCGTTGGCTCATTCTGGTAATTAACATATTGACGCCATTAGTTAAAAAAAATGAGTTATTATGGAATTAATCCACAATTAAATTTTTAATTAATAACAATTCATGTATGAACTACAGTAATACATTGATCTTACATACTCTTAATTAATTCCTAATGTGGTAATCATTAATGAATAGCTTAAATAATCATTTGTTACACATTAATTCAGTATTATCTGTGCATTAGTTAAGCATGAATTAATGCTTATTAGTGCACCCGTATTGTAAAGTGTTACCGTTTTTCCTTCATTCATTCACTATTCACTCTGGCCACACTTTGACTGGTACAGTTATGACATCATGCTTTCATGTTTTAAGTTTCGACCTAGCCTGCAACAAAACCCTAGAATGTAAGTAACTCGTATCAGGGTAGTTCTCTTTTTACTCTCAAATTTGTGAGGAAAAGCTACTGCTAAGCGTAGATGCTAAAAAAATAAAAAATAAAACTGGCTTGAAATAGCTTCCAGGTTTGCACAATGTACTGAGCAGCAAACAGGTAATGAAAATGCAAAATAGCAGTTAATCAACATTGGTGCCAGGAATTGGGTAAACTATTATACTGCTTCCGCTTATATCTCTCCAAACAAAAACTTATCGAGAAAAAAAACAAAAAAAAAACAAAAAAAAACGAAACATAACACTCAGTTGAGGCTAATCATGGTTTTCCTCTGACCACATTGTGTTTAGAGCAGTTAATTAATGGATAGCGAAAGTGCTTTAAGGACATTTTAGTGCTTTTAAGGACATTTTGGTACTTTGTACAATAAAGCAATTTAGAACCATGTTGGGATGCGACTTGATGGCTAATGTAACATCTGTGTCCTGAAGCGACCACTGCTGTATTGTGTTCATGGCTTTGTCCAACTTTTGGCAAGTTCAAGTTCACCTGCAGAGTATATCCAGGGTCACACTGAAAGGACACCACATTGTTCATCTGTAGTCTCTCGCCCACTTTGAAGCCATTCATGGGTATAACCGGTTCAGGACAGCTAGTGAGGGAGACAGCTGTGAGAGAAAACGAGACAATGAGTCAATAAAGAAAGTAATTAAGCTGAATGCAAAAGCTAGTTGAGATTTTAGAGATGTTTGTATGTAAGTCCAGATGCACAGGACTTGTAACAGATGTCCTACTTTTGTACTCCAGACGGAAACCGGCTGCAGAGACGCTGATGTCTGAGGAGAAGTGCAGGTAGAGCTGGTTAGAGGTGCTGTTTAGGAGGGCTGGGACTGTTGTACCTGTAGAATAAAGAAGACGTTAGCATATTGTGATTGTGTAGTTGACATATAAATATGCAAACTTCCCATTGCTTTTGTTCACAAAACCTATTAAAATTGTATTATTTATTTGAAATAAAGTTGAAATAAAAATACATTAATACTAATAACTAATACAAATGACATTTCAAAAATATATATAAAAGCAAATAAATAAAATGCCAAATATACAATAAATAGCTTTTAGTATTAAAATCGCAGGCACACACACAAATTCGTCACTAATTGATAAAAATAAACAAATATAAAAAATATATTTATGGAATGAATGTGAAAGTTTCATGTTATGCAAACAATGCTTTACACCATATGCGTACGCTATATTTATATAGCGTATGCATATGGTATATAGCGTATGCAAACTTCCCATTGCTTTTGTTCACAAAACCAATTAAAATTGTGTTATTTATTTGAAATAAAGTTGAAATAAAAATACATTAATACTAATAACTAATACAACATTTCAAAAATATATAAAAGCAAATAAATGCCAAATATACAATAAATAGTTTTTAGTATTAAAATCACACGCACACACACAAATTCGTCACTAATTGATAAAAATAAACAAATATGAAAAGATATTTATGGAATGAATGTGAAAGTTTCATGTTACACAAACAATGCTTTACACCATATGCATGCGCTATATGAGATAAGTTTAAAGCAAATTTGCAAAACAAACACCATAGCATCTATTTTCAATAGAAAAGTCTACAGACATTACTGTTTCAAATCATCATGGTGCAATACAAAACATCTGTCTGAAAGTTTTATATATTCACATTTACATTGTGTTCTGAACTATGCATGCAAGCCAAGTGAAATACAATAAAAAAAAAAAAAAAATACTTTGTTGTTTTGCTTCAAGCATTTCTAAAAGCCCAATGCAGATGAGAATCATTATGGATTCGTTCGTCTGGAATTTATACAACTGTTTTAGTCATATGGCTCAGTGTGTGCAGATATGATTGACTCATTTGTCTTCACTTTGTACACCGTTATTCATTTTAAGATGTATCATTCATTTATCTCTCTCTAGGGCACTTGTAACATTTTGTGGCTGGTCTTTGTGCCAATAAATGAGAAAAAAAAAAAAAAACAGCCTTCCCTACTGTGTAAGTAGCTTCTGCTTCCCATAATGCATCACATACGCACACTAGCAACAATAAAGATTCACTTTTATTATCTATAAACAGTTTCAAAAAATGCAGTAACTCTTCTATATATTGCGGTCTAAAAATTGTTGCAAAACTGCATTTCTTTACAAAGACAAACCAGTGCATTTCTCTCAGCTATCCACCGAGGAATCTTCCAAGCATTCAAAGCCACAACAACAAGATTACTGTGATGATGTGTGTTTATGTAATGAACTGAGTTATAGAAGTATTACACAGCCCACCTGAGAAGCTCCCCAGCATGGTGTCAGTGTTGTCACCTCCATCAAACACCTCGAGAGAGTCCCAGTTCTGCTCTGTCACAAAGCTAATCACCTGGATCTGAGAGAAAGGAATAGAACAAAGGTAAAAAAAAAAAAAAAGCGCTTCCTTCTTTTTGAGTATCAGTGGATTGTACTGAAAAATATTGTAGGCACTTGGCTACTGTGTATAGTTTTGAAAAGCTAAAATAATATGATATAAGGTATCTTAATTTAATGTTTCAAATGCCATCTTCACACAGTTTTTCCAATGTTCAGCCCTGTAAATATTTTGGTAGACATTTTTTTTTTTTCCACCCCAGCCTCAAACAAGCCAAGAAATTGGCAGGTCACAGTGGCATGACTGTGGCTATCGCTGGGAGATTGTCACATCTGATAGCCTTGCCGTCAAAAGGCACATTTATTTGTGCTTGCTTCAAATAGTGAATTGGAAATTTCACGAGATGGAGGGGGTTAGTTCGATATCCAGACTTCATGAGCGCTCTGTCTGACACAAAATGAAAACACACCATCAATCCACCCTATAGCATCAGTTAAGAGCTCTTTCTTTTTTGCTTCTTTCAGGTTCTAGACCTGAAAAGAAATTGTTCAGTGAAGATATTTTGGCATATATTTAGACAACATTCAACACGCAAGCATTATATCTGAAATTGCATAAAAGGGTGATTTTTTTCCCTATAAAAAATAGGTAAATTGCAGCAAATAATCGAGGCATTTTTTTCAGCACTGTTCACTAAAACTCAAATTATTTTTAAATAATCAAGAGTAATAAACAGCATTTTTTTATCTACATGCAGTGTACTGTGTTTACATACATTATGAATGCATGAAAAATGTCATGTGGGGGTATTCTATAGAAGAAAATATGCTTGTAATAAGTTATATGTGAATGTCTCTTATATCTCCTCATCTGCACCTCTTTCCTTTCATAATACTACCTATTTATATCATGTCTCTCTTACTTTTGGGGATGTTGTAATTATTTCCACATGGTTCCAATTCTCCTACAGTGAATTGGGTTAAAGGCAATTAAGTAAGTGGCCCTGAACTCCTCCCATGATTCAGAGCTATATTTGATTACATTTGTTTCCAGCAGTGTGAGGCAAGTCTAGAGAGGCGATCGCAGATGCCACTTGAAAAAATAAAATAAAAATCAATCATATCCAATAAGGACTGCTCATGTTGCCTTCTTTCTAAAAACGCATGGTTGTTAATCATAAGACATGTGAAGGAGACCGACTTTTAATCATGTTTGGGCTAAATAATCAACTACAGAAAGTATTAATAATTAACTACATTGTACTTACTATAGGGTTATGATTAGGAGGTAACACTTTATAATAACTACACGCTAATAATCATTAGTTAAGCATGAGTAAACCATTAATTCATCATTCATAAAGCATTAATAGACATTAATAAGCAGTTTATAAATACAGCTATAAATGCTTTCTTCTTGATTTAAAAGCATATCTATAATTTGTTTAATAATTGTATTTTCATCCTTTATTAATGATCAATGTATCATTTCTAAATGAAGAATTGCATTTTTTTATGAACCAGTTATTTAAGAGTTTTCAGTGGTTCATACGATTACTTAGAGCGAGTAAGTAAATGATTAATAAACTATTTAAATGTACATTCATACATCTTATTATTCAGACATATAGTGATGGTTACTTAATGTGTTAATAAATGCTTTATTAACATTTATTAATGCTGTAATTAAGGGTTAATTTGGGTAGTTATAAAGCATTTAGTCGTGGTCAGTTAAATGTTCGTGAGCTCATCTAAAGTGAGGACTATTCATGCCTTGTAAAGCATTTTTTAAGGCTGTTAAAATTACTATGTTCTGTATCACTACGTTGTGTTTGTTACATTTTACTGTTTAGAAGATTGACGAGTCTTTAAATCACCTTTATAAATGCTTTACAAAGCATGAATAGTCCTCACTTTAGATTAGGTCACAAAAATAGTTAACTGACCACTACTAAATGCTTTATAACTACCCGTATTTACTACATTTACTTACACTTTCTAAGTGATCTTATGAATGACTGACAACTCTTAAACAACTGGTTTGTAAATAATGCTATACTTCATACTTCAGAAATTATTAATTGATCATTAACAAAGTATGAAAATACAATCATTAAACGCATTATAGATATGCTTATAAATCAAGAAAAAAACATGTATAGCTATATTTATAAACTGCATATTAATGTCTATTAATGTTTTATAAATGATGAATTAACTGTTTAAACATGCTTAACTAATGATTAATAGTGTGAAGTTATTATAAAGTGTTACCGAAATCTAAAACAAACTGTTAACCATGTTTGTTTAAGGTATATGCAAAATGACATACTGTACGTTTCAATAGTATGTTTTGAAAAGTATAAATATCGCATTAAGGCTGCATTAATATATTTTAATTTGTAATTTATTCCTGTGATGCCATCATTACTCCAGTCTTCAGTGTCACATGATCCTTCAGAAATTATTCTAATATGCTGATTTGACGTTCAAGAAATTATCAATTTTTTTTCAAAATATTTTTTGTGGAAACTATTATACCGTACCTTTCAAAAGTTAGAGGCAAATAACAAAAAAACAAGGAGGCATTAAACTGACATTTATCATGTTACAAAAGACAGCAAACACAAAGGCTACAAGTATTCGTGGCCAAAAGTATGTGCCACAATCTCAAAAAGCTGCCAAGGTGCCAAGAAGGTAACGCTGAATAGAGTTATGAAGTATGACTGCAAGAAATGATGGCTGTAAAGATACTGTTCAAAATCTGACGATTATTACTGCCTTCTCCCTTAGAATCTAAACTTTTATGGTCTGCAATGAAATGAAAAATTGATACGGTTAAAAAAAGTAACAGAGTTGAAGCATTGCAGACTTGTTAAACGCTCTTCCGTGACCACATTTAAAAGTGTCACACCGCAGAGGAAGTGATAACAGCATTATGCAACTGAATTTACCCCTGAAAAATCATAGAAATAAAGATAAATGTGTTGACTCTTTGAATATTTTGATACGGTCTCTGACCTGTCTAGTTTCTCGAACTAGCCCTGTGCTCTCTTACTGACCCCAAACGTTTGAACGGTCATGCTTGTTATACTTAAATTAGTACAGCATTTACATGGTCACATGAAAAAAAAAATGCTTTGAGTTCATGACGGCCTTATAAAAGAGGATAAAATGGTATTTTATTGTTGCTAGAAGACAATACCTGGATTCCCATTCCCTCTGGCACAGTGATCTTCCATACGCAGCTCAAGCTGTTTAGGTAGGGCTCAGGATAGCCGGGGGACAGTATAGTACCTATCCGCTGGGTTAGATTTCCTCCACAAGGCACTGCAGCACAGACAAAAGGAGAAAAAAAGATGAAAGAGCAGGTACAGAAGCCAAAACCTGCAAAACAGCGTACAGTATCGAAGGGTATTTGTAATCTTCCAGGAGACCACCTCCCTCCTCGTGGATCTCCTGTGGTCAAGCATCTGGTAGCTGCAGTGAAGCGCACAGGTAAACAGTTGCACCTGAGTGTGTACACACAGAATATCCGCGGCAACATCTGCCGAGTGCGTGCATTTGTGTATGTGTGACATGCCGAAGGCCAAGACTGCTGGCCCACAGCTGTGTGACGTTGCTTGTTAGGCACAGGGATAGTTTGTTGGCGACAGCTCTCTCTCAAGAGGAGCAAGAGTAGGAGTCTGTTTGCTCTGTTTCCCTAGCAGAGCTGTGGTGTGAATCTAACCGTGCTCATCCAAGCGAACGCATTGAGGAGGTTGGGACACAAGTAAATGTGACACTTAAGCAACTGAAGTGAGATCCTTTAACTGAAAAAAAAATACATTTGACTTTTTTCTCAAAATTGGCAACTGACTAAAACTATATCGCTCCCATTATATTGCCTTTAAAGGGATAGTTCACCCAAAAATGAAAATTCTGTCCAACCCCGTAAGACCTTCGCTCATTTTCGTAACCAAATTAAGATATTTTTTTGATGAAATCTGAGAGCTGGATCACTCCTCCATACTAGTCCATAGGCTTCTTGAGGAATTGAAACTTGCTGTCCTCGAAAATTATTAAAGACATTGTTAAAATAGTCCAAGTGACTACAGTGGCTCAATCTTAACTTTATCAAGCGACGAGAATAAACAAAAAGAAACAAAAATAACGACTTTATTTCAACTATTCACTTCCTTCTCTATGAGCCTCTAGTCAGTTAACGTAGTGTGATAGCGTAGAGCTACGTCACACGTAGGCTCACTATTGGCCGACGCTGGTCATGTGTGTGATGCGTGTGACGTACAATAACAAAAGCTTACGTTATTAAACTAGTAACCTGACTCGAGGCGGAGAGAAGTTAGGCCGTGTGTCCACCAAAGCGTTTTACCACGCGCCTGGCGTATGTTTTCAATTGTTTTCAATGGGAGCGCAGCGATTTTTAAACGCCATGACCGTACCGAGGCGCTGAGCATTTTTTTCACGCCCAGCGTTTTTTACTGGTCGCTGGGAGCTGAAAAATGTTCAACTTTGGATAAAACGCAGCACTCATCACTGTCACTTTTTACCCAGCCGTCCAATCACAGTGGAGGAGGGGCAGGACTAATACCACACCGACCAACTGTCACAACATTCAAACTGCTGCAGATATTCTGTATCATAGCAATGAAACATCTCAACGAAAAAAAACAAAAAAAAAAACGCTGCGCTGCCAAAACACTCTCAAGCGCCCAAAGCACGGCGTCTTTAGCAGAGCGTCTAGCGTTTTCAGCTGGCTAAAAACGCTTTGGTTGACACACAGCCTAAATGAATAGTTGTTATTTTTGTTGTTTTTTGCGCACAAAAAGTTCTCTCGCCGTTTGATAAACTTAAGATTGAGCCACTGTAGTCACTTGGACTATTTTAACAATGTCTTTAATAACTTTTCGAGGCCAGCAAGTTTCAATCCCTCAAGAAGCCTATGGACTAGTATGGAGGAGTGATCCAGCTCTCAGATTAAATATCAAAAATATCTTAATTTGTGTTCCGAAGATGAACGAAGGTCTTACGGGGTTGGAACAGCATGAGGGTGAGTAAATACTGACAGAATTTTCATTTTTGGGTGAACTAACCCTTTAACCTTATTGATAAAATTGTGAAAGTTGAGAGAAGTCTGCAAAAAAAAAAAAAAAAAACCCTAGATATGTAGGATGGGCTCTTACCAATGCAACTGGGTATGCTGCTGTTCCACTGGGCCAGAGCGTTGGGTACAGTCAGGCACTCGATTGCACTGGGACCCTCCAGAACGTATCCTGGAGTGCATTCAAAACTCACCACGGCTCCCACCGCAAAGTTGTTCCCAGTGCGTCTGCCGTGTCTAGGCTCTGGGACTGAGCTGCACTGGGTCGCGCTTGTCCTTGGGACAGCTAAAGCAAATAATGCGCTATTGTTAGAAGAATCTGTACAAAACCTCCAAGTGAGAGATGCTGTGTACTGCATTATACATGCAGTCATGCACCAGATTATTGGTGAAACTGGCACTTTAATTTTGAACCATAGAAGGTACAGTGCATACAGCTGGTTGGGATGCCCCAGACCACCATTACTTTTAATACTTTTATAAGATTCTGTACTTTTCCATTAAAGACACAGCCGGGAACGAAAAGGAGTGTGACTGAAATCCACAGGGGAGGCGAGATAATACAATAATGCTGTTTTAGCTCCTAAAAACCACACTATCTATTATAGAGAAAGATGTGGGCTGTTAAAGCACATTTTAACAGAAGGCCCCATGGCCGCCGAAGAGGTACAGCACATTTTTAAGATTCTGGGGTACACTGCATCATTCTGTTAAAGTTTATATAAATGCAATGGGTGACATTTCAAATGTTGATATCTAAAATTTCTGGATATACAGCATATGTTGTGTGTATTATATCATGTCCATGGGTAATTCATTCTGTCTGGAAGAAAAAAAAAAAAAATATATATATATATATATGAAGAGTTCAGATGCAAAAGCCTCTAAATGCCATTTGAAATTTTCATCTTTAATGATGATTTTTATCAAACTTGTATATTTAAGTTCAGTAATTTCACTTAAATAACAATTAATAGGTAATTATCATTGCCATTTAAGTGAAATTACTGAACTTAAATATACAAGTTTGATAAAAATCATCATTAAAGAAGAAAATTTCAAATGGCATTTAGAGGCTTTTGCATCTGAACTCTTCATATACACACACATATATATATATATATATATATATATATATACAGTATATATTTTTTTTTTCTTTCTTAGTTAATTTAGTTAATTTAGTTATTTTTTTTTTCTTAGTTAATTTTCGACAGTTAATTTCTTCGAATTTCATTTCAATTTAAGTTTGACTTCTGGGACTTATTTACTACCTTAATTCAAGATTAGTAGTTTAAAAAGCAATCTCAACTCAATTCTAAATAGTTCACAACCCTGGTTAACAGAAAATGAAAATGACATTTGGGATGGAGAAAGAGAGATTGAAACTCTTACCTTGATAGACCAGATGGAAACCTCTTGAGCTTGACTGACCCTTAGAAGAGAAGCGGATAAGGATCTGGTTGGAGGTGGCTAGGGGCAAAGATTCACCTGAAAAAATACATACAAGGTGTCATGACATTTGGCGACATTCTAAAACCAATGACATTTGATGTTATTGACCTGTGCCACAGATGGCATATTTGTCTGAGGGCAGCAGTGGAGGTGAAGATTGTGAATGAATAACGATTCTTGGCGTGTTCATCACACAAAGCTATCAAATGACTTCAGAAGACAATGAATACAGTGCATGTGTTGTATAGAAGTGGACAGTGGTCATTCTGAACTGCTGCCTTTCAGAATATATCTTTCAAAAAGATCTTTGGCCACATCCACACTGTAAAGTTTTAGTCAAAACTGCATTTAAATAAGGGCATGGATCCCCTAAATTATCGTTCTAATGCAGCCATAGCAAAATTCTGACATCTTGTATGTTTGATATCAAATTAATATTACAGGGACAAAATACTCATTATGGAAATCAAACTAAAGCTGAGTAATCTGTTTGTCTTCGCAGAGCACACTCTTGAAGTGTTGTTATTTCCACTTATCACAAGTGTTTTTGAGCTTGTTGTTTGAGCTTGGCTCTTAAAGAAAATCAAGTTTATGGAGCTATCACAGTAAGTAGGCAGGAGAAGGTTGTAATATTTTGGTCTTATTTTCAATGTAAATCATTTGATTTTATTTCAGTTTATTATGGCCATTCTGTTATCTAATGGAGTTTGGGTTCCTTGCCACTGTCGCCTCTGGCTTGGTTAGTTGAGGACACTTAGGACCCTATTTTAATGTTCTAAGCCCATGGTCTAAATCATAAGGCGCAAGTACACTTAGGACGTGTTTAAATCCACTTTTGCCAGTTTAACGACAGGAAAAATGGTCGGTGCATGGTCTAAAAGGGTTGTCCCTATTCTCTTAATGAGTAATGAGTGTGTTTTGGGCAACCAATCAGAGGCTCATCTCCCATTCCCTTTAAAAGCCAGTTGTGCTCACGCCATGGTGGATTCATTGTGGCATTGTGGACCCACATATAGGCTCACATTACTAACACACTCTTTAAATAATATATTTTTTAAAAAACTATTATAATTAAATAACATAATCAGTAACAATTGATGAAATTTACAAATTAACCGAATCAACACTGAACTGACTTCAGTGGAAAAACAGCCGGAATGCATTTTTTTCCTGCTCTCACTGTAAAGCTGCGTTGAAACAATATGTATTGTGTAAAGTGCTATTTAAAAGAAAGTGACTTGCTCGTTATTAGCGCATGTGCTTTCTGTGCTGTTGTGTGGGGGCTGAAGCTTTGAATCTACCCACAGATCCCCGAGGCCCAGTCGAGCTCCACAGGGGTTTGCAGAGAGCAGGTTCGGTGTTGACAAATTTGTACAGTGGCCAGAGAAGATGAAACTGCTCAACACTCTCGTTCGTGTTGGGATTGACCAATGCGCCAGCTCATGCCTTTGGCATGCTGGGATGTTATTAGAACAAGCCTCCGTGGGCAGCCGACAGAGTGACAGCTACAGTAATAACCCGGTAGAGGCAGAGGTGTGGGAAACCCTGACCGCTGATTTATTTGCCCCTGCTGTTTGTTCTGATGGCCACATTATTCTGCAATGCTGCTCGAAAACTGTTAGTCTTGTGTCGCACCACACCAACAGTAAACCTGGACGGTGCCCACAGATTCACCTCGACAGGAAGGATGCGTTATGCAACATTCAAGGTTGTTGTGGAGTGGACAGACGTGGCCCGACAACATCCTGTCAGGATTCCAGAAGACTGAGGATCACAGTGTTGAATATGATGACTCAACAGAGGTGGATTTGCCGGTTTGTCTACCCCCGAATTCAACATTGCTTACATTGTATTATCACCAGCATCCTAATTAATGTTTTATTTTCAACTTAGGCCTACATTTTTTTGTTGTTTGGTCACCATTGAAAATGGGGGATTAGTTGTGGAGTGATGAGAACCAAAAATGGATTAATAAATTAAAAGTTCAAGCCCTAAGATTGCGACTTGTTGCAACTGTGAGATATAAAGTTGCAATTATCTTTTAATTTTGGCTTTACTCTGAGGCGGAAACAGACATCCACAGTGATAAGGGTGGCAAAATAAATTCACACTGCTTTCATTTTTGTCTAGAATCCTTGTGTATTGTTTAAAATAAGTTAAAGGACTCATGAACTGGCTTTTTAAATTTTATTATATTGTTTTCTGAGGTCAACTTATGACGTTCGCTTGGTTTTTGCATTCAAAAACATCAACATGAATAAGTAATAGGCTATTTTGTACCCAAGTTTTAAGCCTACCTGAAAAACGCTCGGTTTTTATGGCCGTCTCGCACTGACGACCTGGAAGTAAACGCCCACTGCTGTGAGTGGATAACAGTTTTGCATATTAGAATGAGTTTCAACTCACCTGTCAATGCACGTGGGTGAAATTGTTTTGAAAACATCCAATGTTAACGGGAATGATTCGACCCAGAGTCTGTTTGTTGCACAATTCCTATCAGATCCAATATAGATGGCACAGTACTGTTCTTTACTCTTAATCGATCTGCAAATCCAGTCTTGTTTACAAAACAATCCTCAGTGAAATGAAGCGAACAGACGGATGATGTTTTACCCTCATCAGCTGGAGTGGAACATCATTAAATAAAGTTTATCCATGCAGTCCTATTGGAATCCAGAGGAAGCATATGCTATGTTATTTAGCTATGCGTGTAATGCGTGAATCGGTGGGCGGGGCTAAACTGGCCGTGTTGAAGTAGGCGTTCATCTTCTTCTGCGGGGGTGGTGTTTTATCCTCTTTGACGTCATAGTTCCCCACTTTAAAAAATGAGTCTGGTGTCAATAAAAGCTTTTATTGGACTATTCTTATTGGACTTCTTATAATATGATGACATCTTAGATGTCAAAAGCTCAAAGAAATTTTGATTTCTCAGTTCATCACCCCCTTTAACAGTTCATTCACAGAGGACAACTTCACCTGAAATTTACTGTTCATTTTTGCAGATTATTCATTCCTTATAATTTCCATGATTTTCTACTGAGAAAGTTGAGAAACATCCATCAAAACTGACAACTGTGCTTATAACAGTGGTGACATACAGCAACAATTCTTTCCTTTCTCTCTGCAGCACAGAAAGATAATAGAAAATCTGCAGTTTTATGTGGCCTAGTATCAATTCGGACTATTCCCTGCTCGCTATTCACGCTCCAAAGTGTGCATTATTTCCAGCAGCGCCCAGCACACATCACTGATTTCACACCGGCATCTGAAGTTAAAAACCGCATCTGAAGATAGAATATATGCTCTGAGCGGTTCACCTTCCTTGAGCGCGCAGGGTTTCACGCCGTACGCAAATCGCGGGTGTTTGACTGGTGTGAAGGGTGAAGAAAAAATAGAAATGTACACAGCTCATCTGCGTTGTCATGGGAATCTCAAAAGCAGAGAGAGCGAGCGAGAAAACCCTGTTAATCTTCGAGCCGAAATCTCCTCAACTGACCGCATTAAATGGAACTCCATTATGGCTGAATAAAAGCTTTCAGCCTTGGCGTCTCAGTGGAGATCTATTTGGCTAGTCTGTTTTTGCTTATTTGATTCCGTTTTATTCCTGCTTTTTAAGGATGAAAACCCTATTTACTGGATCTTTTTTGAAATCTGTTTGTTAGGCTC